ATTAAAAATTATGGCAAAGATGATGGGCATCACAAATTCAATTAACGAAACTTACAAGTGAGGCAACTTAATAAGAAATCATGACGACGTTCAATACTCTTGTCATATTCGAGATGAAAGCATATTTGATGCCATGTTTCACCCACCACTAACTTTTTCACAAAAAGTAAAGAAAACTAAAAGTATTTTCTTTCTCCATGAGGTAGAAGTATTTTCTTTATTTTTGCTACCATGTTTTTTTTTTTTAATTTCTTTCTCCATGAGGTAGAAGTATTTTCTTTATTTACCATGTTTTCTTTTTTAGTGGTCGGCTCCTCCTTTTATTCTTGTGTTTTTTGTTTTTTTCCTTAGTGTGAGGGTTATAATCTATAGCAAATACAAAAACAGAAGTTTTTGGAAAACCATGGATTAGTTTACAAATTATCCAGCAATTTCCACTTGGGGCCAAACAAACAAAATAAAATCATTTCAATTAACTTATCGAAGTTTTAAAAATCTCTCAATTTAATAAGATCACTAAACATTTCTCATAGAAAAATTAATATCTTAATTTAAAAATCTCTCAATATAAAAATCATGGTCTTCCGGTGAAAGTTCATGATCGCGCTATAGTTAGTATATGGTGCACTTTGTGATTCTTCAACATTTCTCATAGAAAAATTAATATCTTAGTTTAAAAATTTCTCAACATAAAAATCATGGTCGTCTGGTGAGAGTTCATGATCACGCTATTGTTAAGATATGGTGGACTTTTTTCTTCTTGTTTGTTTTCTCTTTCTTCCTTGAAAAATACAAAGGTGTATTCTCATAATTTATTTTTTTTATTTAATTTGATTTTTATTTTTTTGATTAATATGTGTTTAGTTTTTTTATCTTTTTTAATTATATTTTTTCTTCAATTTAATCCCTCATAATTTATTTTCATTTAGTTTTATATAAAATTTGATTGTGCTTTCCCTGCTCATATGATTTATCATTCCTTTTTTTCACGTGATAAAAGGCACCATTGATTGTGCGTTCCCAGCTCATATGTCATTATACTCTTCGTTATAGCACTTGCATGCTTGCATCCCAATCGCCAATCTCGGCCTACGATGGGAAAAATTTCTTCTGACCTAGCAACTAAGTGGCCTCCTTTGCCAAAACCATTTTGCACAATAACTTTGGTAGATCTATTCTCAAACACATGCAGTTAATGTGATCTATCCTCCAGTAAGAAGCTTCATATTTCCCATTTTGATCATGGAAGCAGCAAAATATGTGGCAAATGTTTGTGGATTAATGTTACCATGATACTTCAATCGCCTATTGCTACCACTACCATCACCCTTAAACAGCTCTTGATCAGAATGAAGGGGTCCCTTTTTGCAATCAAATTCCTGAAACACTATGCATCAAATCTTGCTATAGTTGAATCAAGAGGCTTGGTGTTATTGTCTCCTCCAGTTTTTGGGCAGCTACATGTCAAGGAAGCAGCAGATTTGTAGTTTATATTGGTGTAATTATAAATTCAGTTGCGGAAAGAACGATGGTGTTGCCTGCTGTGCGGACAACAACGTCCATCATGTTTAGCCCGTGAGTTGGAAGTTGAGCGAAGCTGTGAGAGGTTAAAGAATGGGGAGGAGGATTGGGATTTGTGCCATTATTGCTTGCAGCTCTTGAATCTCTTCTCCTTAGTAACAACTTATACCAATGGCATTTGGGGGGCAGATGAGAAACAAAGCTTAAAATTTTACCAATGGCATTTGGGGGGCAGATGAGAAACAAAGCTTGAAATTTATGTTAGCCATCGGTATCTTGGATTGAAATTTCAACCCAATTTATGAAAAGCATGTGTAGGAGTTCTCCATTAATCTGTGTTCTAAATTCTAAGGAACAGACTTTGAATTCCAACATATGATAAACACACACACACTCTCAAAACCCGAGCAGATAGACAAAATCTATCATCATTTTGGGGCGTGCGTGGAGTTTCAAAGAAATGTTTTTTAAAAAAAGGACAGTACATGAATACAATAAAGAAAAAACAAGTTGAGTAAACACTGCTGAATGTACAGAAAAAGCAAACTTGTAATCTATCTGAAGTTGTAACGAATCTATTATAATATCCTGTGGAATGGTAAAAGAATTGAGTAAAGTAATTAATGGAAGGAAAATTGACAAACTTTAATTTATTTAATTAAAGGACTTAATTATAAAAGATAAGGATGAAATTGAAAACACGGGTGAAAATTTTTAGTTTAATGAGTGAGGTCCATGCATCCTTGCATCTTCACCACCCAACTAGCTACCTTTAGTTCTTGCTAGATAGGTAGCTACCTTTAGTTCTTGCTAGATAGGTAGATTGTGCTATGCTTAGGCCAACTCAAGTATTCTAATAAAAAGAACAAATAAAATTTGAGACTGGGATAATCAACTTGATTGGGTTTAATATACTTAGGTAATTTCAATAAAATAAAATAAAATAAAAAACAACAACAACAAATAAAATAATAAAAAAAAACTGAATGTAAAACAAAAGTAAAAAAAAAAAGACTCTAGCCCATCTAGATTAGCAAGCCAAAGTTGCAGCTTGGTTGTGATATAAAGACAATCCTGTCAAAAACAAAATAAATAAAATAATTAAATTTAATTATAAAAAAACTTAATACTAAAGGTTGAAACTTTAAAAAAAATACTTAAAAAACAATTAAAAAAGCATAAGTTAAATCATGTTAGCTCCGCTACTATGATTATAAGATTGAAATAATCCTATAGAAATAAAAATAAAAAATAAGTAAGAAAATTAATTTTTAAACAATCAAATATTGAAAAATAGAATTAAAAAAATATATAATTAAAAAAAAATTAAATGTTAAAGGATTTTGTTTGTTAACAAAGCAAAAATCAAAAGAGAAAGTGATAAAGACATGGTTATGATAGTGAGAAAAGCTCATTAAAATCAAATTGAATAAAATTATGAAACTTAATTGTCAAATAATCTAATATTGAAGGGATAAAAAATTTAAGTTAATCCGGGTTAACCTGTGAACCCTTGCGATCATGGATATAAGATTGTAATAATCTCATTAAAAATAAAAAAAAATACCAAGTTGAGTAAACACTGCTGAATGTACAGTAAAAACAAACTTGTAGTCACTGATCTATCTGAAGTTGTAACGAATCTATTATAATATCCTGTGGAATGGTAAAAGAATTGAGTAAAGTAATTAATGGAAGGAAAATTGACAAGCTTTAATTTATTTAATTAAAGGACTTAATTATAAAAGATAAGGATGAAATTAAAAACACGGGTGAAGATTTTTTTTATTTTTTTATTTACATGGGGTGTCCGAGTCAGCTTGCACGCACCACGACTAATCCCCACGGCCCACTGAATACCCTGCAAACCCAGTACTCATGTAAGGCATCGCGGGGGTGACAGACGTGCACGCCAGGACTCGAATCCAGGTGCAGTGGAAGGAGACAAACCCCTTCTACCACTAGGCCAAGCCCTGGAACGCCACGGGTGAAGATTTTTAGTTTAATGAGTGAGGTCCATGCATCCTTGCATCTTCGCCACCCAACTAGCTGCTTTTAGTTATTGCTAGATAGGTAGATTGTGATATGCTCAGGCCAACTCAAATGTTCTAATAAAAAGAACAAATAAAATTTGAGACTGGGATAATTAACTTATTGAGTTTAATATATTTAGGCAATTTCAATAAAATAATAAAAAAAGCACGATGACAAATAAAATAACAATAAAAAACTGAATGCAAAACAAAGGTTAAAAAAAAAAAAAAGGCTCTAGTCCATCTAGATTAGAAAGTCAAAGTTGCAGCTATAAAAGCAACCCTGTCAAAAATAAAATAAATAAAATTTAATCATAAAAAAACTCAATGCTAAAGATTAAAATTTAAAAAAATAATTAAAAAAAACAATTAAAAAAATATGAGTTAAACCATATTAGCCTACTAACTATGCTACCATAAATATAAGATTGGAATAACTCTATATAAATAAATAAAAACAAGAAAATGAATTTTTAAACCATCAAATATTAAATAATAAAATTAAAAAATATATATATTTAAAAAAATATTAAATGATTTTGTTCGATAACAAAGCAAAAATCAAGAGAGAAAGTGATAAAGACATGGTTGTTATAGCGGCGAAAGCTCATTGAAATCAAATTCAATAAAATAATGAAACTTAATTGTCAAATAATTTAATATTAAAAAAAAAAAATTAAGTTAATTTGGGTTAACATGTGAACCCTTGCGATCATGAATATAAAATTGTAATAACTTCTTAAAAAATAAAAATAATATATAAAAATCAATTAATAATAAATCAAATGTTAAACATGTTAACCATCAAAATTGTTCGCAACTGAGACCAAATTAAATGAAACAAAATCATTTCAATTGATTTTTTAAAGTTTTCGAAATCCCAAGTAAAGAATATTATAGAAAGCAAAAGCATTTCAATGACTTTAAATCATCGTTTCACAATCTTCGTTGCCAAGTAATTTATTTTAACGTGATTCAATTACAGGAAAAAAAAAATCATATTTAATCGAAGAAATGATCACTAAAAGAAGATGCAAGCATGCAAGTCAATTGTCATATATATATATATATATATATGAATTGATTGATAGACAGTAGAATTTACACAGAAAAGGAACAGAGATGAAAAAAAGCAGAGAATAGAGAGGAAGAAGAACAGAGATCGATTCTTTTAAATAGAGAAGAAGACGACGAATTCTAGCACTGATTTATTATTCATTGATTTCTGTTTTCTTATCTGACATATGTTTATATATGCTATAGTAGAAAGGTTATACACGTTATCTATTCTCTCTTTATTTGCACTGAAACAATGCTAACTAATTCTCTTAACTGACAGACAATACTAACAGCATTCTAACATTATCATTCTCTAATCTTTTGATATTTGGCAGGACTAGAGCCTTTGATATCTTTACATTGATGAAATGGATATGGTTGATCATATATGAAGGCCAATTCACTTCTTTATTGAAACATGTAAGTTGAAGCAAGCTCACAAAGCATCTACTACAACAGATCAAAGCTTTTGAAAAAACACTCGAAAAGAAGAAAATACAGTAGGGTCGATGAAGACATGAAGAAGAGCGAGTCTGCTTCCGGAGAAAAGTCTATGGAAACAACCATATTGGACGCTTAGGATCGATATATCTTCTACCCCTTGCGCAAGTCCCTAAAATAAGCACGAGGATTTGCTTCAAAATTACTCCTTGGTATGCGATAGTTCCTCCCCGGTGCTTTCATTGTTTTAACACTCTTGGCAAGACATCCGCTGCAAATACGAACAATCTTGGCAAGACATCCGCAGCAACTACGAACACCCTTGGCAAGCCATCCGCAGCAACTACGAAACAGGAGTACTAGGAGTGCTATCACTACTACTGCAACAATTATAGGAACGCTTTCTTTCTTAAACCATTGGAGGACATACACCACTGTTTCAGAAGCTAGAAATTTCTTTATTAGGTCAGAGAGCTTGTAGTTGAAATCAGACACTGCACCAGAAGCCATGAATTTCTTTATTAGATCAATAGGCGAACGTCTGCAATCAGACACAGCACCAGAAACCATAAATTTCTTTATTTGATCAGAAAGCTTGTGGGTTAGATCAGACACTGCATAGGAACTTATAAATTTCTTGGTTAGATCAAAAGGCGAACGTATGTAATCAGACACAGCATCAGAAACCAGAAATTTCTTTTTTTGAGAATAAAGGTTATTGATATTTGTGGAAAGAAAAGTTAGTAGTTCCATTGCTTAGGGGGTAGGCTGCGATTTGTATAGAAATGAATGGGGAGGAGAGTTTCTGGGCAAGGAAGAGAATCAAGAGGGTGCGAGAAACGAAGAGTGTAATGAGATATGAGCAGGGAACACACAATTCATGGTGCCTTTTATCAAGTGAAAATGAAAGAAAAAAGAAGTGGTTTTTACGTAGTTATAACTTGACTTGAGGATTGACTTGAAAAAGGCTTGGATTATTACAAAAATGTCTAGTTTTTATAAAGAAAAATATTAATTTATTATTATTATTATTATTGAGATTCCGAGTAAAGAACATTATAGAAAGCAAAATCATTTCAATGAGTTTAAATCATCGTTTCACAATCTTCGTTGCCCAGTAAGTATTCTATCACAAACAAGTGAGTAAAGTATTTATTTCATCGCGATCAATTACAGAAATCAAATAGTATATAGGAGTGTTTGGAAGTGTAAATGTGGTTGATTTTTAAAATGTTTTTTATTTAAAAATATATTAAAATAATATTTTTATTATTTTTTTAAAAAAAGATCTGAAAATAAAAAAAAATTATTAATTTAAAAAAAAAAAAATAAAGAGGATGGGCATCACAAATTCAAATAACGAAACTTACAAGGGAAGCAACTTAATGAGAAAACATTACCACGTTCAATACTCCTCTTGTCAGATTCGAGATGGAAGCATATTTGATGCCATGTTTCACCCACCACCAACAAAAGAAAGCCAAAAGAAAAGAAAACTAAAGGTATATATTTTCTTTATTCATAAGGATTTATTGTTTTTTTTGAATCAAGAATATATATATATATATATATATATAAAAGTCTGAACACTAAGAGAGCATAGCTTTTTTTATTATTATTATTATATAGGTTGTAGCCCAAGCCAAGCTACAGTCTAACGAGAAGTAAAAAAAATAAGGAATGAACAGCCTTACTAATAAAGCAACAACACAAGAAATCAAATGAAATCAGAATTTAAGTGGAATAAGCTGAAACACATTCGTAATTCTAATATAGATCATGTCAAATAACCATCTTAACTCAATAATTTAAATTATTAGGTAAGGTTTTAAGATATGATTTATATTATTTTCTAACACACCCTCTCAAGTGAAAGTTTTTTGAACTTGAAACTTACATAAGTTTATATTACCTTATATTTAATTTTTATAAAATAAATAGGGATAATGAAATTCAAACTCGTAATCGCTTGGTCATCAAAACTCTGATACCATGTTAAAGAACCAACTCAACCCAATAATTTAAGTTGTTAGATAAGGTCTCAAAATATGATTTATATTATTATGTAATAGATCAGACCAAGAGAATACATTTATGTTTGTTTCTCTTAGTATGTTTTTAAATTTTTAGTGATAGGCCCGTAGTAAATACAAAACGCTTAAGCATAAAGTAATGTAAGTCTATGCAAGTTTCAAATTCAAAGGGTTTTCACTTGAGGAGGTATGTTAGAAAATAATATAAATCATATCATCGGACCTCACCTAACAACTTAAACTTTTAGGTTGAGATGGTTTTTTGACATCAAATCCCGATCTTAATTTCTTGAATCAATCTAATTTAATAACTGTGAATATTCATGTAATTTGAAAAACACGAGTGTCAGTCATATTTTAAGTGCACGCGTCTCTTAAAATTGATGTCATGTTCAACCCACCAACTTTTGACAAAAGAAAGTAGAAGCAAGAAACAAAGCAAAACAAAATATAGCATAATTTTCTTTGTTATTATTTATTTATGTTCACAAATGGTGAAACATACATATATTGCAATGCCAACTATCCAACTACTCCAGGATGATTATTGACTCATTGATGAATTAGTGACTTAGTAGTTTGGCTAAATCAGTGACCAGATCAAGTTTAACAATATTGATTGATAGAACTGTTTGGAAGATTTTTAAAGAAGACTATAAACAAATAATAATAATAATAATACTAATAATAATAATAATAAAGACGACTCCTCTCTCCCTTCGCAAGCTTGGCTGATACAGGCTACATTAGAAATTATTTGGAAAACCCTTGGATTGACTTCCAGATTATCCACCAATTCCCAACTGGGACCAAACAAATTAAACGAAACAAAATCATTTCAATTGATTTTTGAAAGTTTTCGAAATCCCAGGTAAAGTATTTATTTTATCGTGATTCAATTATAGAAAACAAATCATATTTAATTGAAGCAATGATCACTCAAGGAAGACGCAAGTATGTATGCCAATTGTCATGTAAATATAATCTATATATATGAATTGATGAAATGGATATGGTTGATCATGAAGACCAATATTTCACTTTATTATTGAAACATATAAGTTGAAGCAAGCTCACCCCAGCCCAGCCTATCCCATGCAGCATACCATCCTACTAAGCCCCCGAAGGCATCTACTACTACTAGCTAGAACATATCAAAGCTTTTGGAAGGCCACCCGAAAAGAAGAAAACACAGCAAGGTCGATGAAGAGAAGAAGAAAAGAGGATCTGCTACCGGTGAAGAAGTCACTGGAAACAACCATATTGGAGGCTTAGGATCGATATATATCTTCTACCCCTTGCGCAAGGCCCTAAAATAAGCAGAAGGATTTGCTTCAAAATCACTCCTTGGCATGCGATTGTTCCTCCCTGGTGCTTTCATTGTTTTAACACTCTTGGCAGCACCTCCACAGTGTTGGGTCATTCCAGAAATAAAATACATATAAATTTACGTGGTTCGGCAACTTGTCTACTCCACGAAATTACTAGTTTGTATTAATCAATCAAGAAAACAATATAAACAAAGAAAGAGAAAAATCTTCTCAACTCAACTGTACTCACCCAAACTCTCTCTGTTCTTTTCTCTCATTCTCTCTATTCTCCACAACACTCCTCAGCTCTTCAATGTGTCTAATTATAGACAAAGATGAGGGCAAGAACTCATGGCCATAAATCACGGCAAAATATTTGCCACCATTTTGTGCTAAGTGGGAGATTACATATTCCCACTAAGCATATAGTGGAGGTGGGACATTGCTTGTCTCCATGATACTAATAATCTCCCACTTGGAGACAAATAATGAAATTATCTTTTATCCTTGAAGACCAACTAAAGTTTTACACAAGTTCAGTTTATCAAGTGTAACTCCTTTGGTTAACATGTCAGCTAGATTCTTGCTTCCACAGACCTTTTTTAGCATTAGTTGCTCTTCGTCTAACAATTATCGAATAAAATGATATTTGATCTGAATATGCTTAATCTTGGAGTGAAATGTTGAATTCTTGGCAAGGAAGATTGCACTCTGACTATTGTTATACAAAGTACCTTTTTCATTCATCTTGCCCAGTTCTTTTAGGAAACTCTACAACCATATGATCTGTTTTGCAAATTCTGAGACTGCAACATATTCAGATTCTGTTATTGAAAGAGCGATGATCTTTTACAAGGTAGAACTCCAGGAAATAGCAGTGCCTTCTAAAGTGTGTGTGTGTGTGTGTGTGTGTGTGTGTGTGTGTAATGTAGTGTTCTTTCTACTATCAACATCTCCTACTAGATCAGCGTCTACAAAACCTTCAAGTTTCAAACCTCCAGCTATGAAGGTAAGACAAGTCTCTGAGAAACCTTTTAAGTACCTCATGATCCATTTTACCGCCTCTCAATGCTGCTTTCCAGGATTGCTCATATATTAGCTTACAACTCCTACTACATGGGCAATCTCTGGTGTGGTATAAACTATAACATACATCAAAGAGCCGATAGCTGAGGCGTATGGAATTTTATCCATATATCCATATTTTAGCTCATTTTTTGGTGACTGGTCTTTGCTGAGCTTGAAATGATTCCCCAGAGGTATATTTACTAGTTTAACATTATCCATACTAAACCTGTTGAGAACCTTCTTGACATACTCTGTTTATGAAAGCTTTAGTATGTCTTTGTCTTTATCTCTGATGATTCTCATGCCAAGTATTTGTTTAGCAGCTCCCAAATCCTTCATTTCAAATTGTTTTCACAATTGTTGTTTCAACTTGTCAATCTCTTCAATGTTGGATCTTGCGATTAACATATCATCCACATATAATAGTAGAATGATGTAGGAGTTGTTAAAATATTTGACATAACAACAATGATCAGCTTGGCATCTTGTGTACCCCGAACTACATATAAAGTTGTCAAACTTCTTGTACTACTATCTTGGAGCTTGCTTCAAACCGTATAGGCTTTTCTTTAGCTTGCAAACTTGGTTGTCTTTTCCTTGTATTGCAAACCCTTCTAGTTATTACATGTAAATGTCTTCCTCCAAGTCACCATGAAGAAATGTTGTTTTCACATCTAATTATTGAATAAGTACATTTTCTGCAGCTATTATCTCCAAAACAACTCTGATTGTTATGAGCTTTACAATTGGAGAAAATATCTCAGAGTAGTTAATCCCTTTCTTTTATTGAAACCTTTTTACAATAAGTCTTGCCTTGAACCATTTATGTCCTTGGAGAAAATATCTCAGAGTAGTTAATCCCTTTCTTTTATTGAAACCTTTTTACAATAAGTCTTGCCTTGAACCATTTATGTCCATCATGCTTAGTCTTTACTTTATAAACCCACTTATTTTGCAAAGCCTTATTTCCTTCAGGTAGTATGGTCAGCTCTCCAGTCTTGTTCTTCAACAACGAATCCATCTCGTCCTTCATGGCTAACTCCTACTTGCTTGAGTTTTCATCTTGTGAAGATTCTTCATAAGTTAACGGTTCACCACCATTTGTCAACAAAATATAATTCAGTAAAAGTGTGAACTATTGTAGGGGCTATACAGTCCTTGAAGACCTGCGAACATAAACGGTTGGTTCACTTGACTTTGCATCTTCTTGCGTAATAGTGGGTACAAATGTGATTGAATCTTCTTATAAAGACTCTTGATTTTTGTTCTGCTTGGTAACATCGGGAAGCCTTTCTAATCTTATGAATTCAGATTTTTATGGACTTGTATTTAAATTAGCCATATATGTTTCTATACTTGATCTGTCTTTGTACAAAACTTTCTCATTGAAAATCATGTTCCTACTTCTGATAATCTTTCTGTTTTGATCATCCTAGACCCGAAATCTAAATTCTTCATCTCAATAGCCAATGAAGAAATATTTTTTGGATTTGCCATCTAGCTTGTTGCGAGCATCAGAATCTATATGCACATAGGAAACTCACCTAAAGACCTTTAAATGAG